CCACTGCACTCCAGTCTGGGCGACAGAGTGAGACTCCAACTCAAAAAAAACCAAAAAACTGTACAAAATACTAACATAAAAAATACTAAGAGAAATGGTGCAAGTTTTACAATAAAAATTTTTTTCAACCATCAACTATAATATGTGCTCCAAAAACTCCCAAAGAAGGCATATGTATGTGGCCACAGTCCCTGTGAACGTCCATGTATGCATCTGCTGCTTCTGTTTCCTGTGTAGTGATACCTCTCCCCACCTCCAATAACTGCTGCGCTGCACCTTGGCCTTCGGCCTTCAGTCTTTCCTCCTGCCCTGAGGATTAGTGTCTCCAAATATCATTTTTCCCCCCTAAACAAGCTGTTGTTTTTTAAAACTTGATGTAACACTTTCTTTTATAATAAAAATTGGACAAAAGATCAAGCTAATTTTCCAAAAACTGTCTAATTAATACCCAGAAGCAATGGCTTTATTTTTATACACAATAAAAACATAGATCTGGTAGCAAGATGTCCCTAGCCAATCAAAAAAGAATATAGGGACAGGGTCCTCTCAAAGAAGGCAGAAATAAAGGACATCAATCCGAGGAAAAGGTCAAAGGCCAAAGGTTCGACAGGGTGTGAGGCCAAAGAAATTCTCATATTGATCACTCCTAGAAGGTATGAGAAAGTTTGAGAATGATAGAAGCAAGGCCTTCCTTTCGGTATACACCTGTTCTAAACAACTTTGGAAATCAAGCAAGAGCGTTTTCAACTAACAGGCTTACAAAATCGCTGGTCCACTGACCCTGAGATTAAGGCCAGTGAGGAGGTTGCTTCCATAAAGATCACATTTGCATATCCCCATCTCTAGGGGGTCCTTCTTACATGTAACAGCTCAGCAGTGCTGGATCTCACCGGTTCTCAGGAAGAGCACAGGCCTGGGATTGGCTGCTGCTCTGTGTCACCGTCATGCAGTGGTGGTTGAGGGTGTGGCTCTAACTAACTCTTGTGAGCTTTGTGACCTTGGGCAAGTTACTTGGCTTCGCTTTTCTCATCTTAAATTGAGGGCCGCACATCTATTTAGTAAAGTGACTGACATGTTGGAAGAACTTCATACATTTTCAGTATTATTTTTCTTTGTCCCTCCGAGTCAATAATCACCTGGCTGAGAAGTCTAGTACTGAGTGTTACTGAGCTAAAGGATATACATGGCGGCCGTTTTTCTTTTTCCTTCTTTCTACCATGAGTCTTCCTTTTTCTTTTTTTTTAGTTGGAGTCTCACTCGGTCACCCAGACT